AATCCGAAAAATGAATCCAACACCTGAAAGGACAGAACCATATCGGAAAAATCCATCTGAAAATTCGAAACGAATCAAATCAATATCAGAAAAAGAATCTAAATCAAATCTCAGATTTTCACTCAAAAAGTAACGTAAGTCATATAGTCCATAGCCCAACAAGAGAATATAAAACGAAGAACAACAAGGGTCAAGGAGGACGAAACCCTACTCATAAAACGCGGCCGAAAATCACCACAAGGGACAAAACCCTCGCAGCCGTAAGAACATCAACAAACAGAACGAACTCACCATTAACGAAAATCACAAAACAGAACGAAGATCACCAAAACGGCAAGCAACCACCTAACGAACAAACGGAACCCAGCCGACAGAGAAAAGACTGTCATCACCGTTAGTCACAAACGGCGGGCAATCAAACTCCTGGCCTCATCTCTTTACATCATCATCGGCCGTAAATCATCATCCTCCAAGCCTAGAAAACACACCGAGTATCATCCAAAAAAACCCATCAGGCTATCACGAATAAGACAGAGCTCCGAATTTCGTCGTCATTGCTCGTCAACGCCGTTTCAGAATCAGAAAAGGGTAAACATTTTTTTCCCATTAATGGTGGTGTGTTTGGTTTTCAGGTGGCAAGGAGTACGAAGAGTGAGAGAGAGTCGCAAACAATGGAGACGGATCTAGAGCGAAAAAAGGGAAAGAACAGAGAGATCAGAATGTGAAGAAACGGCGGTCGTTTGCATGTGGAGTTTAGGGTTACAAAACCTTTTGTTTTCTCCCCTTTCTGGTGATATGGACCGAATCGGGTTTGGGTCCTTGGAGTTCATCACCCAGGCCCAACCCTTTTGTTTTATTTGTTTTTTTTTTCTGTTTTTTGATGTTTTAATTAATATTAAAAGTAAAAAAAAATGTAACTAATTAACTTGTTTTTTAACATTTTTCTTTGACACATAAAAATAAACATTTTTATTTAATTTGAAATATTCTTTTTTTATTATTTTAATTAAACCATTTTCAAAAAATAATAATAAGAATTAACTTTCTTTTATTACTAAAATCTTGTTTTCACTTAAAAAGCTAACTCTTTTCCTTTTAAAAGAATTTTTAACAAATTTATTTTCTCTAACTTAAAAGAAACCTTTTTGTCAAAAATCGTAAAACTTTTATTCAAAAAATGCTGACCTTTCAATTTTAATTTCTAAACACTTTCACATTCTAAGTGTTCTCGACGTCATTCCATGTAATTTGTCCGTCTGTTTTGTTATGTTGATTTTGGTTCACTAACCGTTTACTTTTATTTTTCAGAATTGTAATTTATTTAATAATACTGTTTGTATTTTATTTTCATCCTCATTTGTATATTTTATTTATAAACATTATCTGTAATTTATTTATTTCACATTACTCATCATTTACCATAATTTCCATTCCGAAGGATTAGGTCTAGCAATTTGATCGTCGAGTCAATAACCCTAACCTTTGACATTTTCAAACCCTAACACTTTTAGGCGTCCCGCCGCAGACAAAAATACCTTTTACCCTAGCATTAGGTCAAAGAGTCGTCGTACTCTGTTTTAGGGTTTCCCGCCGTGGAATCCCTAATTTAACCCTAATTTTAATTAGCAATTTCAACGTAGAGATTGGAGTCTCCGCACTCTACGTAAGCGTATCCTTAAGATACGTTTATTCCCCATTGAAACCTTGACCATAGTCAAGAAGTTTCTAACCTCCCTTTCGAGGGAAACTACGATTACTCTGATTCCATTCCCTATCCAGGATACGTAGGCTCAAGATGCGAGTCTTGCCGAGTAAACTTAGGACTAACCCTTCGGTCTTTTTCTTTAACTTCTAAACCCTTTGTATATACCTTAAGCAAATTAGCAAAAATAAACAAAAGGTTCCCGTAGAGTACTACAGAAGTTTAGGGTGCTAATACCTTCCCTAATCTTAACCATCCCCTTACCTAGATCTCTCCCCGCATTCTTTACGATGCAAAAATAGGTTTTTCCTCTTTTGACCTTTTCCTTCGGATAAATCAAAGAGTGGTTGTGAATTAAAGATGCGATTCAAATTAATTAATAATTTGATATCCTATTTCCACCGCAACAAAAGGAAAACAATTTTTTTATTTAAAAAGTATGAATTTCAAAATTCAAATTTACCTTACAGAGATTGAAATCCAGGTGCGTTGATTTAATTATTTGTGCTATATATTTCCCTTTTCTTTCTCTTTCATATCATCAGATATGAACGAGTTAAAACATATCTCACTTCCAAGATTCTTCAATCTTTTTCACAACTTCTACTCTAGTAAATTCAAAAGCTTAGCATATATCTTAACTTCTAATCCACTACAGTCAAGCCAATATCATTTATCTCTCACATTTGATAAGTTTCTCATTTCCTTACTTTTTTTATTTGTGATGCACACATTTCCTAGAATCGTTATAGTAAGGCTACATTAGGTTACTTGAAATAAAGTTGTCATATTTATTTTTTTCCTAATTAGATTTGGTAAGAATTTTGAACATTTGAGGCATAGGGTTCGTAATACCTTGTTTTTGCTTTTGTTTTCTAGTTATATGCAGTTCATATTTTAAAAATCAAGAACCTTAGTCTGAATAACAAAATCCTAAATTCTATATTTTGTGGACTATTTCAAATTTTGGTTTGCTAATACTTTGTTTTTGTTTTGTTGGTTATGATATGCATTTTATTGTTTGACTTTAGAAAAAATGGCTGACAATCAAGAAAGTTTGAGACATGGTAGAGTGACCTAGGATGCCTCAGTGTGTAGAGAAAGTCAGACCCAAATGACCTGCGCTTGGAGAATCGTCATTTGCTGTTGAGGGGTCGTCTTCCCAGGGTCATGTATCTTTGGTTCATTACAAAGCCCCCGCTACTCCAATACATGTTGTTGTACCAGATGTTAAACTTGATGTTATTATGCCCAATAGTTTTTCAGGAGGCCCTGAAACCTATCACTACTACCTTTATATGCACACAATGATGTTAGGCACGTGTGTGAGAGAGAGTTAACAAAGATAATTAAACTATCGATGTTAAACATTTTTATTATAACAATTGAATTGTATGACAATAATGTATTTATTTTAAAGTATTCAGAGACATTGAAATGTTTCAATCATGGTAGAAAGGTAACAAAGCTTCTGTAACATGATGAACCATGGTTTCAATATGTCTTACAACTATCCAAGCTGAAGGAATTTTGCATGATTATATATGGTTATGTTAAACATGGTTTATTGTCTGCGTTTGTTGAGAGATGACACATAGATAGATTTTCATTTCATCTTCTAGTTGATGAGATAATCATCACAATTGATGATGTATCATGCCTCCCACATATTCCGATCATATGAAGATTACTATATCATTTTAAAATCAGTAGACCTGAGGCACTAGACCTGATAGTGACCCAATTGGGAGTTATATGGGTAAAGCCTGAAAGGTGATAGATGACATCATAGAATGTCACGCCAGATTTTCTTTCCTCGTGAAAATATATGATGGCTACCATAATGCGGTTGTAGATTATGCAGGTGATGATGCAGGGGTTGAATATTATAGATTATGTGCATTTAGGTCATATCATAATTTTAGTTTGAACGACCATTTTTGTGGACAATGCGACCTATGTCGACATTGTCTATATTAGATACTTCATTGGCTTGGAGAGGAATCATGAATATAAATGGGGGCATCTTATTTGGTTTACCTATACTTGAAGTTACCTTAAGGTAGTCAATGGAAGACGAGACATGTGAGATAGGACCATGTCGTGGATGTACTGTCGATATGTCACTATATAGTTGTTATTGGGAAAGAGACCATAACTAGGGCGAGTTTTAGAAAGGCGATCATAGCATAAGCATGACATGTGTTACAGTATAGAAGACATAGAAGAAACATAGACGTCAGATATACCCCCTAGTGATATTTTAATGTTATCCTTTTTAATTTGCATGATTTTTTGTATTTTATGAACACTGATGTATGGTTTACTAACATTTTGTTTGACAATTAGATGTTGTTAATGAATGACTCATGTGCATGATCTATTATATGTATGATTTAAAAATGACTTATAATGTATTAATTATTAATAAGTAATAAAATTTCAAAGTTACTATCAATGGGTGTAAAATATTGTCTTGGGGTTTGCCTTCTTGATTCACCCCATTTTTTACCATATTGTGATTAAACTCAGACTCAAGCTAATGCACGAGGTTTATTCAGAAATTGAAATTCAAACTGGTTTTTTTTTGTTGAGAAAAATAAAGGTGTTTTTTTTACGAAATGATTTTATTGTAAAATAGATGTGTTTTGAATTCCAATTTTTAAATGCTACGAAGAGCATTTTCGAATTTTCATAAGCTATGTGAGCACTATATGAAGTGTAGCGAAATAAAAAATAAAAAAAAAACACACCCCAACCCCCTTTATAATTTTGAATTCCAAGTCCATCCACTTAGCAATCTAAGCTTGTTGAAAAGGTGTGTTCAACATTTGCTCCAAGATATGCCTAATGCTCTTTTGATTAGTCATTATAACAAGGGAAGCATGAGCTCCCCATTTTTATACGACACAAATAATCACTAGCTGAGATAACAATGGGAGCACAAAATGAAAGAAAATGTGTGTTTGGTTTTGTGGTGATTTAAATTCATTCTAAACGAATTAATTTTGTAGAATTAATTCTCGTTGAGTTATATGTAAAGTGATATATATTTGAATACATTTATGTAAAAATAAATTAAACAACAATTTTCAATGTAAAAATCACGTTTAAATTCAAAAACTACAAATTTTAATTTCAAATAAAATCAATTCTACTTCAGAGGAACCCAGCACCTCAAAATCAATTAAACGCCTCTAAAATTGCTTTTCAAACCTATACTAAAAAGTAAAACAAATACAACAATGCTACACTATCCTAATTCCTATCATATTTTGATTTTTCAAACAAGCTTTAATTAGTTGGCTAATCCTAATTTCATCATGGACCGAAACTCTTCATAATCCACAAACCCATCACCATTCTTATCAACCCTTTTGATCATAACCTTGCACTCTCCAATACTACAATGATCAAATCCTAAATTTATCAGAACTCTCTTAAGTTCTTTAGCTGAAATTAAACCATTCTTATCAGTATCAAACACATGAAAAGCATCCATAAGATACTCATCTTGCTCCTTGTCAGAAGCACAACCAAACTTACCTTCTTTGTTATCCACAACAACCATGAACTCTTCCAAGTCTACAAACCCATCTCCATTTGAGTCCAACATGTTTACCATACCTTCAGCTTCTTTAGCAGCTATGCTAGCTTTGTATCCTAAGCATGAAAGTAACTCACTGAGTTCACTAGTTGATATTTTGCCATCACCATTAGTGTCAATCAGCTTGAAAACTTGTTTGAACTGGTTAGATATCCCCATGTCAACAAATGAAGAGAATCTTATGTTAGATTCTAATGTACTGTCTATGCTTCTTGGTTCATTGAAGAGGAATTTAGCCTTTTTGTTAAGAGAGGTGAAGCAAGTCCTGAAGAGTCCTAGCATGACTACTTATTGGTTTGAATCTTTCCTTATATACACCACAAAATCTTTTTGTACACTTTATAGAGAGAGGGTTCTGAAATTGTGTTCACAAAACTATTTGTAATAGAAAATGGACAAGTTTTAGACTGGTTCTTTGAGTTTGATTAGGTCTTGTTTGGTGTGTTGTTGAAAAGTAATAATTTCCATAATGACTAAAATACCGGCAAATTACACTTTCAGATGTAGCCAGATTTGGACAACTATATTTAATTTGTTTCATTGTTCTCTACATGATTTAGTAGTTTCTAAGGACTGCAACTGGATTATTAATTTTGCTTTGGACCTTTGTATTTGGATCTTGCGATAAAAATATAGAATTACTAATCTCATCTAATATGTAAATAATTACCATATGAAAATCTAAAATTGCTTTTGATATTTTGTTGATTCATCTCCAGGTCTATCATATGCTTCATTTAAAACGTTAAAATTGAGTGATATTTAAGATTTTTTCTAAAATTTATTCTGAAAATACATCTTCAGAACAACTTAACGTTGAGTATGCATTATTGCTGAAATGCCTTTTCTTTTATAAATAAATTGTTTCGAAAATGCATTTTCGTATTCACGTCAGATATAATTCGTAGATGCATCTCAAGAACCATACTAGACAATAGCTTTTTTACTTTGATTTGGAAATGTTCTGATGAATTTGACGATATGTTATATATATGCTTTCATTTTCTATTTTGTTTTTGTATAAATTAAACTTTACAATAGATATGATGAAAATGACATATATAAAGTGATAAACCTATGGTACACAGTGAAGTCGAAATAAGTTAAAATAAAATACAACTGATAATAAATCCAATGTACAAATACTATAAAGTATTGCATATGACGGACTCGGACCCCCTTATTCTTACGTTGTCTCATGTACAACAGTCTTCGTCATCATGGCATTTAGCAGAACTCCCCCACCCTCATAGTCATTCGGAAAGAGTCTTTTCTCAATATCCGTCTACCTAATCTCCATGATACGACGACATTTAGGCAACACATCAACAACATGATCTTCCCTGGCCTGCTTCTCCTCAAGTATCTCCTAATGAGTTGGCTAGGTGGATCTCTAGGACATCATGTATCATATAACGATGTGACATCCTGAAGAACCATCGGATGTAACCGTTTGCATAGCTCCAATTGCTAGGAGTTATAGTACTTTGTGCCTCCTCCGGTACCAGATGATTAAGATAATCATCAAACATAGCATTCATAACTCTGTGTGTCATGGCGGGAGGAGCAGACACATAAGGGTCTTTGAAAATAAATTACATGTAGTCGAATTGCAGCATGACGCGCTCAGGAAGATGAGGATACATCATACATGATCTGTAAGTCGATTATCCCGAGTATAAGACTATGTCTTCAAAGGGACGTGTTTCACAGTGATCGACGTAAATATGGAAATGTATGTCCTCTGCTACCAAGCGGTCAAGATACACTATGTATGGCTTTGTCGTTTGATTTCCTCTGAGCGGGATGAATACAAAAGCATGTGGCATATCCTCAGTGTAGGTTGGACCACATGACTATCGTGATGGCATTTTTGGCACCCCATAGCATTAGCCCCCCCGGGTGGCTTCTAAATCCTTAATGGCGTCTCCTATGTGAGCTCTCATATAGTCAACCATCATCTTCAGTGTGTCATCTATGTTAATCTTGTTGTGGTCTAACAATTTCCCCTTGATCGGAAGATGCAACAGGCACGAGACATCATCCAGTGTGATCGACATCTCATCATGTGGAAGATGAAATGATGACGTCTCTGAGTGTCATCTCTCTACAAACACGGACAATATACCATGGTTAAACGTACTATAACTGATCATATACATATCGCTCAGTCCAGATGGTCGAAGTACATCCTGAAACCTCGCCTCATTAGATTACTGCAGACCCGTAATATTTCGACCATGGTTGATGAACTTTAAAGCATCATGGTCCTACAGAAAAATATATCGTCGTCACAAAATTTGAATATTATAACAAACACGATTTTCAAGGAATGAATCCAATTAATTTTACCTCTATGTTCCATACATGTCTGGAAGTATGCTCCGTGTAAAAAAGAAGCAGTGGCAAGTCTGATAGACCTATGTCAAACCCCTCGTGTGTCTGGGGTGCCTCCTGTGTCTGTGGTGCCTCTTGAGCCTATGGGTTCTCTGATGCCTCGGGTACATATAGTGCCTGAATAGGTGAAACTTGTCTCCTACATGAAGATGGTGACAAAGATGCGTGAATAGGTGACATTCGTCTCCTACGGGAAGACGAAGGCAGAGATGCATGAGCCCCAAAAATGACGCATTTGCATCAATCGAACTAGAAACAACAGGTGTCCGCGATGATTAAGTGTTTTCCCTCCAAACTGATGCATATTGTGCAATAATGTCGTGCCTTAACCAATTTTTCCTATCAGCCATAATGCCTATAAACAATATTTTAAAAATTGGACCGGAGATCGAACCGGTGAAACTTACGATTAAAGGTTCAATTGGTTAAACTTGTTAAACCAACGGTCAAATTATTTATTAAATGAACTAATAATATGAAATTAAATTTCAGAGATATGTCACACATGATTATATGTTCACAACTTAATAAAATAAATATTTCAAAAATCTATTACAAATTCAATACAATGATATCGATATTACATAACATAGTTCTACACTTCATTCCAACCATCATTTAAAAATATTTTGACAAAACTAAAGAATTACAATGAAATAAATTAAACTAATTCAAAACAAAATTAAAATAATAGAATATAATAATTAAAATAAAGTTCAAATAATTAAAAATATCTAAATTAAATATGATATAAAGACCAAAATATAAATAATAGAATATACTTCATTAAACAACAAAAAATCGAATTTAAGTTGAACTACGACAAAAAAAGTCTTAATTGACAACAACAAACAATATTAACTTGAATGACAATTAATATTGAATTGGACATCATGACTATGTTTGAAAGAGATGGCATGATGATGATGGAGTGTGGTTGAAAGAAAAACTATAATGGAGTGACAAAACTTTGAAGTTTGTATGGTTGTAAAAAACACAAGAAATTCTTTTTTGCGATTGAGAAATGTATGTTAAGTTTTGATATTAACATATTGAATTTAAAAAAATTAATAAATGGTCAATTTGATGCATTTTTTTTAACCGGACGGTTTTACGAAGCTGGCTTTGATTCTTTGGTTCGAATGATTTTGGACAGTTCAATCCAGTTTTACTCCGATTTTGACCCACTAGTGGTTTTGAAAGGTTGACCCAACCAGATTCATCTCCGCTTCCTGGTCCAATTAGTTGAATCGGTCGATTCGGTCCAATTTTTAAAACATTGCCTATAAGCAAACCACACAAGCATTATACATGAAAGAAAATGAGGTCAAATAAAAAAAACATAAAAAATGCAGAATTAAATATTTCAGAGATACATCTCTAGATTTTGAAAATTAAAACTTTGAAAATTTTTGGAGATTCATCTTTGAAATTTTCTGCAACTCAAAGTGATGTTAATGGCGAAAATGCAGTCCTTTTAAACATCCAAAATAATCCATTAATCATTAAAAATACCTGGCTATTCCGAACTGACCCAATCCACTTCTACTCTCAGAACGACTTAATTGACTAAGTCCAACCACTTCGGGAGAGAATTTACCTTTCTGCCCCCCCCCCCCCCCAAACAAGGGAGGTTGACCAATTTACCCTTGATCATATCGCTTCTTCTCGTCAGTCTCTGTCCGTCACGCACGGTCACATCATCCAGAAACAGTCAAGACGTTTGTACCCGTAACTACGCCTCTGCCCGTAGCAACGGTTAGTTATGGGCACGTCTAACCGTTACAACGGCTAGTTCTACCAGTTACCTATTCTTTGAAAAACGGTCATCTCGCCTCGAAAATATAGACCAATGCCCAAGCGTTGAGGGTATTATAAAAACTCTTTCATACGAGAGGGTCAGGTACCCAATATTCACCCTGATATACTCACATTCTGTATTTGCTCTCTCTTGCTTGTTTTCTTACTTTAGCATCTAAGTGTCTTGCAGGTACATCCCTCTCGTCCTCTTTCACACCAGCATCACAAACGATTGTCTTTGATCCACCTCAGATTCTAATCAACTGGTAAAATCACTATGAAACACGTTTCTCATGTAAATAACATATATAAACTACTTATTACATAACTTAATCCTCAATTTAAACAAATGTATATAAAAAATTAAAAAAGTTTGAAAAAATCAAAAAACTTATAAAATCCTCAATTTCTACAAATGTATATAAAAAATCAAAAAAGTTTGGAAAAATCAAAAAACTTATAAAATGTGAGTTTAGTTCGGTGTTGAGTGAACTCTTTGATCAACTTGATGTTGATGAAAGAAACTTTGAAGTTCGTTAAATGATTTTGAGAGAATGTGAGTCGAGAGAGTTTGAGAAACTTAAAAATTTCAAAAGTAATTTCAAAAGTGAGAAAGGAGAAGGATTTGACACCCTTATTAGTCAAACAACGTCTCTAAATGCATCTCCGGAATATACTAAAATACATTTGCGTCATGTTTTTTACATAACCTTAAAATCTGATTCACAAACATTTAATTTAAATGTGTCTGAAAATACATCTACAAATTCAAAAAACGTTATTGAATTTTCACGAAGGTGGAGAAGTAATCTATAAAATGCGTTAAGTAATTCCCTAAAAATTAATTGTCATCTCTTTGGAGTACTTCTGTTTCCAAATAGTAACTCAGATTCGAACCTTAGGATATTGTTTGGATATCAATAAAAATCACTTGTATTTGTAAAACAATATATTCCGTTATCAAAGACATCATTCAAACTATTCTTACTTGTCTTACTAATCATTATTAACAAACTCAATTCTCTTGAAAAATAGTAACATGAGCAACAGATAGTGTGTTTGCACAACATAGTGTGTTTGCACAA